TGCCATAGAAATGGCCATTTGTGCCATAAAAATGGTCATTTGTGCCATACAAATGGCCGTTTGTGTCATAAGAATGGTCATTTGTGCCATAAAAATGGTCGTTTGTGCCATAAAAATGGTCATTTGTGCCAAGTTCTTGTTACAGACAAACAGACAGACGGACATACAGACACACGTGAATTACGGTTTCTAGACCCTAGCCTTTCAGCCTAGGGAATATAAATAACGCTAGGCCTTTCGAATTGATTTCTTTTTCAAGCGAGTAAAGTAAATAAGAAATCTATGAATATGATAGCATAGCCTTATATAGTTGATTGAAATAATCTGCTCATTATTCTACTAAAATAGAAATAATTGATCATCATTTCGTATTTATGATATCTACAGCAGATCTTACGCACTATCATATATATTAATCAACTCACAAATAATGATATTCATTATTTTTGAAAATTATAACTCGATTATTTAAAAAAAAAAACATTAGAAAATATGACGCCTGTTATTGTCGATTGCTAAGGTCTGTAATGGGGGTGTCCGTCTGTAATGGAATCCAAATATATGAAACAGACTTATTTGTCAATTAATTCGATGATTATAATAATAAGAATGTTAAATTAAGAAAAACACATTAAAAAAATGAAAAATAATGAGCGAATAGCGACAATGCAAACAAAAAATAGGGCGCATATTAAAAAATTAGAAAAATTCCGTGTGAAATACAGATATTAGAGAAGTCATTACGGATGTTATTACTCTAGATATCAATTATTCTGCAACACAGCTATAGTCTATGAGAGATTTTTCACTTTACATATTTTGTATTGGTTTAATGAGGCTAGAGAGCATATGTGAGTCCCGCATTTCAGCCCCAAAAGGGCTGCGTTAACAAGCTTTTTTTTATAGTGATGTTTCTGGAGGTTCTTCATTTATGTTATCAGACGCTATTGTCTTTGATTGAAGATGCCATTCTTCTATTGGTAATGCCTGTAATCGAAGCATTGTTCGATATTGCACAATAAGCCAAATACAACCAAGTAAAACACAAATTCCTACAAGTAGTGGATACGCTAATTTATCTGGTTTAATCCATCCAGCTGTATATAAAACTGCTGATGATTTTAAACCACCACCAAGTTTTCCAAGCGTACTTAGTAATGTAATATATGTTCCACCAATACATGAATCACTTATACGTGCATAAAATCCAAAACGAGAAGCAGCCATTAAAGAAATTAAAGATTCTTTTAATATTAAAAGACAAATAAGTATTAGATAAAAATACCATTGAGATAATATATATGGTGTAAAATAAATATATATTGCAATTAGAATACACATAAAAAGAACAGGTAAATATGAACGATAATACCAGGTTAATGGACGGTTTGTTTGTGTTATACAAAATGGTATAAAAATTTTAACAAAAATTAAAGGAATAATAAGTAGACCAAGTGTTTCTTGTGGAACGCCATATCTAAAATTATAAAATGAAATAATAAATGAATTAAATATTTGTTTTTTACTTTTTTAAAACTAAGATCGTCATTGCATTGGTTGCTGCATACCCAATGCTATCTAAAAGCACTAATAATGCTAATTGGCGAACACATTTTTTTTGAAATAATTTAAATATTGATGAATAAGTTTGACGTAAGTTTAAATGATTATTTTCTTGTCTTTCTTTTTTAAATAAAGCTATGCAAAAACAAACCGATAGAAAAGCAACAGCCCAAAATCGTATAAATTGATTTATTGTAAATAATCCATATGGTTTTTCTGATAGTAAAACTGGTTTTCGAATAAATCGGTTAGTAAAATTTGCTGATTCAAATGTACTTAAAATATTAAAACCAACCAAACCTCCAATTGTTTGTCCAACTGTTTGACATGTTGCTACCCATTGAAGATTATAATTTGTTAAAAGTGTTAATGCCCAACCATCAACACACACATCTTGACTAGCAAGAAGAAAATACACAAGGAAAAAAATACATGTTAAAGTTTTTATTTTTAATTGTTTAATTAATGTTGTTAAATAAAATGAAAATATAAAAAGTATTATTCCTAATAAAAATTGTATTGGTATAAGCCAAGTTTTTCTTCGACCAAGACGTGAAATATATACAGCATCAATTATTGGTGCCCATGCTAGTTTTAAATTAAATGGATAAAAAACAAAACTAAATGTTCCTTGTTCTTGCCATTTAGCACCGCATGAATCCAAATATAGAGGGATAGCTTTGGTAAAACCCATAACAACTCCTTGAAGAATATAAAGTATAAGTAGAAATAATATAATATTTAATGGTACTGTTTTCGTTTTCATAGTTTCGAAATGAAAAATAAGTTGGTGTTTTTTTTACTTTTATCGTAAAGAATCAAAGTAATGCAAGCAAGAGAAGACACAAAAAACGAGACTGAGTGTAACGCTCCCGGTTAAGCATGTGTATGCATGATGTTTGTCCTGTCCATACTACGTATACCATATCGTACTTTGTCCCTATCTTATTGCTCTTACGTCTTGTTGTTATTATCCTTTTCTTCCGTTCTCTTCTCTTCTCTCTCACGGTTGCGTATATAAACGTGTGCTATTTCTTTAAATGATGCGATTCTTGATAAGAAGAAAATAATAAAGGGTATTTCCGTCAGCG